GCTAAATTGCTGAGTTGCCCAGGCTGGGTTGAAACTGGCAATTCCAGAGTGCTGGGATTACAGGTGTGGGCCACCAGGCCAGTCTATGGCTCTTCTTATGACCAGAAAGGAGGCCTGAGGGTGGAGTCTCATGAAGAAAAAACAAAGTATTGTGACATGAGGAGGATATTAGGTTATTAGGAGAGACAGGCAGGGGTCAGATGATATGGGGCCTGGTAGGAGTGGTGTGTTATTCTAATTGCAATGGAAGACATAGACCAATCCTAAACGAGGACTTGACATCGCATCATTTATATTTTAAAAGTTCTCTCTCTACAAATGTGAAAATGAGTACGAGTTTATTTAGTATGTTCACTACAATCAATTATGTCTATAATAAATAATTTACATATAACTTAAAATGATAATTATTTTATTTTATTGTACTGGCAGTTGAATTCAGGGTCTTTACACTGAGCTACTTCCCTATCCCTTTCCCCCCCTCTATCCCTTTTTGAGACAGGGTCTCACAAGTTGCCTAGGCTGGGCTCAAACTTGCCACCTTCCTGCCTCAGCCTCCCAGAGTGCTGGGATTACAAGTGTGTGGTACCACTCCCAGCTTACAAGTGATAATTCAAAAAATACCATTTATAAAGGTAACAGCAAAAAGACATAGGAAAATATAACGAATGAATTTAAAGAGCTTTAAGGCAATACGTTATGGATGTTCTTGTAAGACATTAAAGTAGATCTGCACTAGTGAAGACATGCTGCACCGTGCTCATAAGTAAGAAGGCTTAGTATCGCAAAGATGTCAGTTCTCTCCAAGTTAGGTGATAAATTCAGTGCAACTCTCATTAAAAATTTCAAGAGTTTTCTTTCTTTCTTGTCCCCTTGTGAAGTCTGATAATCTTAGGTGGAAGAACAAGGGGCAACATGGAATACATTAATCCTGAATTTGCTCTATTAGATATCCCATATCTTTGTTTTTTTGGTACCAAGAATCGAACTCAGGACCTTGCACTTGTCAGGCAGGCACTTATACCACTGAGCTATATCCCCAGCCCTTATTCTATTAGATATCAATACTGTGTGTAATGTGGCAGAGAAAGATGGCCAGAAGAACTAAAAATGGGCTTTAATATAAAACTACATGTATGTGAGAAAAATTCTTGTTTTGGTGCTAGGGATTGAACCCAGGCTCTCACACTGGCTATATGTGTGCTCTATCATCAAGCTATATTGCCAGCACCCTATAAATTTGATGTAAGAGTAGCCATTGGGTCAATGGGAAAAGGAAGGACAATTTAAAAACTGTTGCAGAAACAACTGGCTACCCATATAAAATACTAAATCAATCCAGACGGTTCAAAGACAAAGCCACGGAAATCCACTGCTTAAAACATTCAGGAAAAAAAAAAAAATACAGGAAAACATCTTTATGACCTCAGGGTAGAAAAGAACTTCTGGTAGTATAAAAAACCCAAACCCTAAAAAAAGTACACCTTTTTGATAATGTTAACATTAAACACTTCTGTACACTGCAGATATCATAAAGCAAAAAAAAAAAAAAAAAAAAAGCCACCAACTAAGAAAAGATATTTGCAAACTGCCCAAACACAGCTTATTTTTCCAGAATATAGGAAACAAATAAGATAAAACCTATGAATCAGTGACAACCAATAGGGGAAATACATAAAGTTGAAAGTCATGGAAAAGAAAAAGTGAAAGGCCAAAAAACCCCATGAAATAATAGCTGCTTCCATTAGTAATAAGAGAAATGCACACAAACAAGCATGGCAACATTTAAAAAATAGCCAATTAGATATATTTATATTTAAAATTATATATAATTATACTTATAATAGCCAATTGTTATAGCTGGGCATGGTGGCCCATGCCTGTAATCTCAGCACTTGGGAGGCTGAGGCAGGAGGATCACTGGAAGCTTGAGGGCAGCCTGGGCTCCATAGGGAGTTTAAGGCCAGCTTGAATTGTACAGCGAGACCCTGTCTCATAAAACCAAAAAAAAAAAAAAAAAGAAAACCTATTACAGTATTGGGAAGGAATTAGAGCAACCAGCATGTTTATAAACTATTGATTGGAGTATAAATCATTACAATTTTTAAGAGCAATTTATTTTCAATAATATTGAATATATATTTGTAATAATAATAATATTGAAATATATTTATTCAGTGATGCACTAAATTCTAGGTATGTTATTCTAAAGAAAGTTTTTCATCTGTATGTAAGGAGACAGGAGTATTGACAACATTATGAGATATTTAGAATGAAAACCTGGGAACAAGGTAAATGTTCCTAGAAAAATAATGGATATTGTACAGATTACTCTCATTTTTTTCTATTTCTTTCTTTCTTTTTTTTTTTTTGGTACCAGGAATCAAACTTAGGATCTTGCGCTTGCCAGGCAGGCACTTGTGCCACTGAGCTATATTCCTGGACCATTTTTATATAATAAAATAGAAATGAAAATAAATGAAATACAGCTAAAGCTACAATATCAGTGAGGATGAATCTCATAAAGATGAGACAAAAAATTGCAGAAAGATATTTGCAGTGGGCCAGGGATATAGTTCAGTGGCATAAGTGCCTGCCTGGCAAGTGCAAGGTCCTGAGTTTGATTCCCGGTATGCAACCCCTCCCCAAAAAAAGATATTTGCAGTGAAAAAAATTACATAAAACATTATATGTTACTGTGGAAGTACACTTAGATGTAATGAACATATTCATATATCCCTGGGAGTGATAAACATCAAAATCAAGATAGCTTTATCACTGGGGAATGGGAAGGTGAATAGGATTAGGAAGGCCACCTAGATTTCAGTTCCATGTGAGTTTTTTAAAAAGCGAGTACAAGCCAGGAATGTTGGGGCACGCCCATAATCCCAGAACTCAGGAGGCTGAGGCAGGAAAACTGCAGTGAGTTCGACACCAGCCTGAGCAAGTAAATTCAAGGCCAGACTGAATTACAGAGCAAGTCTTTGGCTCAAAAAGAAAGAAAGAAAAAAATGTGTACAAGATTATGTTTTATTCACTTTTTCTTTTTTTTGTAAACTAGAAACATTTTGTAACACAATGTTTCAGAAAAATCATTCCATTTGTAAACTGAAGAATGAGTAGAGGGAGGCAGTAGGAGAGGACTGTAGTACTGGAGAGGTGGAGTTGAGGACATAGCAGTGCCTGGCACACAGTAGGTGTTTCATACATACAAGCCACTGTTGCTACTATTACTATCACCACGAAGGTACAGGGGAATTAATTGTGAAGAAAGGGTAAACTAGAGCAGCTATCTTTTGCTGGGTGCTTTATCCCGTCTTAGCTACCTGCTAGTTTGGAAGCAATCAAAGGATCACGGAGGCGCTAGCCTGAAGGCCAAACGGCTACATAAATCTCTAATGACTCATTTCCAAAGTCACACACACACAGCCCCACCCAAACGCACCTTTTCTGTTTAGCACTTGAAAAAATTCAAGGACCTTTCCTCCCTCGTTGATTTACAAGTGGCATGTTCTGAGCTAAATATTAGTAAGTCCATGTCACAAAATACATTGGGGCTTCTCCTAAGAGCTCCAAGGAAGGAAGAGCAGTTGATTATTTCTGTTACACAGACACAAGAGGCTAAATCAGACCTGGTGTCCACGAACCTCGCGAAATCAAGTGAAACAGCTTATGACTGAAGGGATGTTTTCTTTTTCTTTTCTTTTCTTTTTTTTTTTTTAGGGATGTTTTCCTAGGTAGAAGGTCAGCTTTATTTTCTAAATCCATGACTGCCCCCAAAGATTTCAAAAACATTGGTCAGACGATTTGCTTAGTCTAAAGTCACATGGTCTTGGATCCTGGTGGAGTCACATCCAGAATTCGGCTTATTACAATCTATTAAAATTCATATGAAATAAATTATTGGTAAAATAATGTCTGTCATGCTTACTGACTGCTAAGATGGAAACATAGTTAAATACACTGAAACATCTTACTTGGAATAGCGCTGTTTGGTTCAGCTGGTGGGTAGTCACTGTAACTCAGGTAGGTGTTACTTTTCTTTTTTTTTTTTCTTTTTTATTTTTGAGACAGGGTTTCGCTATGCAGTTCGGGCTGGCCTTGAGCTCACTTTGTAGCCCAGGCTGGTCTCAAACTCTCAAGGATCTGCCTGCCTCAGCCTCCCAAGTGCTGGGATTACAGGCGTGTGCCACTCCGCCCGGCAGGTGTTACTTTTCAAATGGACAAGTCAAGGAACTGTTTTTACAAGCCCTACTGGACTTGCTACACAAGAAATGAACCTGATGTGGCAACGATGAACACCGCATTTTACCCTCCTCAAGCAAAAGCATGAAGCCGGCACAAGCCTGCTATCTCAGCAGTCTGGGAGGCTGAGGCCAGAGGATCCGAAGTGTGAGCCTTGTCTCAGAGTAAAATGGGCTGGAGATGTAGCTCGGTGCGAGGCCCTGGGCTCAATCCCCAGTACCACAGCGGTTAAAGGAGTGCAGACACAGACTGATCTAGGCTGGAGAGCGGAACAGAGAATGAGATTTCCATTTCCCCTGGACCAGTCAATGTCCGCGGGCGTCGCTTCTCTCCCAGATCGCTTCCAGCTCAAACCCTGGATACACCCGGTAAGATTATAACAAGCAAGAACCGTAAGTTCTCGCACAGTTTACTACTCCAGCAGCGGAGCTCCGGTCACTGCCCCCCAAGCATCCTGGAGCCCCAGAGCCGCCTCAGATACAGGATCCGCGCCTGCAGCCCCACTATGGGCAGTGAGCCTGGGGTGGTGGGCGGGGAGCAGGCTTCGGAAGCCAGCGTCCCTGGCGGGACTCCAGGGCCCTAACCCTACACTGAGTAATGAAAGAACGCGGAAACGCCCGAACGCCTTACTGAAATGCGACGGGACTAGTTTAGCTACGCTGGCCCGCAGCGCCCAGGCGGGACTGAGATTCCGCCCGGTTGCGCCAGGGAACTTCCGGCCCGGCGATGCCACGTGACCGAGCCGCGCCCCGCCCCTGCGCATGCGCGCCGCTCCGGGCGCTGAAATTCAAATTTGAACGGCTGCAGAAAGCCGAGTCTGACACTGGAGGCTGGGGGAAGAGAAGAGTTGGTAGTAGGTGAATTCCCCTGTCGGGGACTGCTTGTTTTGTCCAGGAGACACACTGAGCTCCAGACTCACTTTTCTTTTCCTGAATTTGAACCACCCTTTCCGCCGTCTCATAGTGGACACGCGACGCCTGGGGCGATGGACCCGTTTACGGAGGTGAGAAAATCTGCGGGCGCGGCCAGCCATGACCCCTCTGAGCGACTCCCACCCTCTTTCCCCTCTCGCTGTCAGCCTCTGCCCACCCGCCGGAGAGCGCGTGCGCGCGCGTGCGCAGTGCGTGAGAGCGTGCGGGGTTTGGCGCCCCCCGAGCTGGGGGAACCCTGGTGTGGTCGCAGCTGCTGGCTGCGCAGCGTCTCTGGTTTTTTGTACCGCTGTGGTGTTCCTGCCAGACGGACTCGGGGAGGAAAGCTTTGAGTCTGCCTTAAAAGGCGGTAGTGCAGAACCTCGCAGCCCCTGTTACTGCAGTGGCCTTTGGGAGTCGTGTGCCCCCGTCCCCGCCCCCGCCCCTGTCTTAGCTCCCTCTTGGGGCTTGGGGCTCAAGGAATGAGTAGTGCCGGAATCGCTGGCAGGGTGGAGCCCAGGGACTCCAGGCCACAGCCCGGAGACGGGAGAGGCTGCGATAAGAGGAGTCAAGTGTTTAAGGTCGCTGCTGACTAGGCGGCCGCGCAGCATACGGTTGCGCGGGTGCCTGATCATTGCGGTCCTTTCTACTGTATGTCTGTAGTTCCTCCACACACCAAGGCTCTGCTGAGCCGCGAAGTTTCATACCCGAGATGGACGTTTTAATTGAAAGTCAACACTGCTGCCTAGCCCAGTGTGTAAAGCCAAGATTATTAGCCCAAGATTAAAAAAAAAAAGAACTAAAGATGTAATCAGTGTTTATGGAGTATTAACGCCCAACAGTACCTTTCTCATCTTTTGTTCCTTGGAAATAGTGTGCGTTACATCGCTGTTGTGTATCATGTTGAGAATGTACGTCCACGCTTGTTCTCCTGGTTTGTCTACCCCTTTTTATTTCACTAAGTTCCTCTTTTCTTTATTCTTCCTTTTCTTTAGGCTGTTGTGCAACTTCCAAACTTTTTTTTTTTTTTTTTTTGGTGCGTTATTGCAAAGCGTACCTAAGAGTATTTCTACACTAGACTAAAACTTACATGCTTTTAGGGGTGTGTAACTACAATTCCATAAGTTCAATCTATGACACTGATGAAAGGTTTCAACAGTTAAAAGTTTATTCAAACACAACACTATTTTTGTTTCAAATTTTCAGTCATCTTTTGGAAAACATCAATTTGTTCATCTTACCTAAAGATTCTAATAGAAAAATCCAAGACACGTTTTTTGTCTTTAGTTTTAAAGCATAGCACTGGTCGTACAGCAAATGTCTGGCACATACGCTGAAGCTAAAAGACATGTATTTAAGTTATGTAGAGTAGAACTAAAGGCAAGGCTATGTGTTCTCCTTAGTAACTGACAGGAAAGAAACATTTTGAAAGTTGGCTGAAAAATTGTACTTCATTTGATTTAAAAATGTCATTCTAAAGATAGTGCAAATGTCAGTTAAAAGAAACTTCAGTTTTAGAATCTACTTAGAAATGTGTTTGGTTTAATGTGTGTAGTTTGTATCTTGCAACGTTAGATCAGTTGCAGTTGGAATAACAGCTTTCACATCTTTTCCTTAATTGGTAGCAAGTGAACTAGTTGAACTAGTTCCAACTTCTAGGTGCTTAATGATGGCATTCATAACATTTTTCCACAGTGCAATGAATTTCTGCTACATTTTCTTCTCTGAAAAGGATTTAAAGTCATTATAAAGTGATTAGCTCAAGAACTTCCTTCTCAAAATCATAGAGCACTAAATTATTTAAGAGAGTTTTCTCAGTTTTTCCAAGGGTGACTCATAGCCAGGAAAGGAATTAATTCATTTACATGAATCCCAGGACATGTGCTCATTCTTTGATAGCTCTGATCCGGAAGGGTTACCATCATCCCATATTCTCTTTTCTTCAAACAAGACTTAAGCATTGGTTCTCCCTGCGGCCTCTGCTGCTGTCGAGCTCTCTGTCAGTCTTCCATCCTTTTCTGCTTGGCAAACTGTGACTGGATCACCGCTGGCAGTTTGATCTACCTTCTCCAGAGAGGAATCACCTTTCACAGTGCTCATCTCACTTGCATTTATCTGCTGAATATAATTTCTTGAGAACATGAACCTTTTGAAGGTAGGGACTGTTCTTTGCCATTCCAGAGGTATTTTCATCAACATGAAACACAACTAATAATATTTTGCTGAATTAACACAGTAGACAGCCATTAAATGCGTGCAAATTATTTTATAAATCTATTAGAACATTTTGGCGTTTTTTTCTTAACTAAAGAAAATTTCAAAATACATAGAAGTAGAATAACCTCATGTACCCATCATCTAACTTTTGCAGTTATCAACATGTCAGATTGGTTTGCTTTATCCTCTCTCACCCTACTCTACTGAATTATTTTGAAGCAAATCCTAGACATCATATACAGTGGTACCTTGGTCCACAAACTTAAATCTTTCCATGATTCTGGTCACAGACTGAATTGGACGAGAGCCAAATCAAATTTTCTCGTAAGGTCATTGATGGCCCTAACCACTGAATTTGATTTGGTTCTCGTCCAATTTGGATTGTGAGCAGAATCATGGAAAGAATTAAGTTTGTGAACCAGGCTGTAATGTAATTTCATACACAAATACTTTAGATACTAAAGACTCTTTAACAAAGCATAGTCACAATACTATTATTACATCTAAAAATTGAAAATAATCCCTTAATATCATGGAACACTCTGTGACACAGATTTCCCCAAGTGTCATATACTTTTAGACCTTGTTTCTTTGAATCTGGATCTGGACAGAGCCCACAAGGTAATGTCTAAGTGATTCTTCATGAAGCAACCATAACAAGAGAAAAGAACCCATCTAAGTGATTCATGGACTGACAAGCAAATATGGCACATGTCTCTTATGATCAGCTAATGACATTAAAAAGTTTTGTTAATGATGTGAAGTTGGTTACTTCTGCTGACAGTAAGTTCTTAAAAAGAGCAGTGGCTTAGTCAAGAGAATTTTAGTAAAATGGTTAAGAACCCAGACCCTGGATCCTGGATTTGAATCCTGTTTTACCACTTAGCTATGTGACCTGTATTATTTAGCCTGTACCTCTATCTCTCATCTGTAAAGCAGTAGAAGAAACAGAGCCTACCAAATAAGATTTTTTTGTCTTGTTTTGTCTTTTTGAGACAGGGTCTTGCTATGAAGTTCAGTCTGGCCTTGAACTCACTTTGTAGCCCAGGCTGGTCTTGAACTTGCCATGATCCTCCTGCCTCAGCCTCCTGAGTGCTGGGATTACAGGCATGCACCACCACGCCCAGCTCACCAAGTAAAGTTTTGAAAGAGAAATGCATTAGTGTGTGCCAAACAATTAAAAGTACTTTATAGTAAAGTCCTGTAAAATTGTTACATTAATTTTGTACTTGTTAGATGAATTTAAAACTATAGACTTGCTACTGTTTTTTTTGGTACTGGGAATCGAACTCAGGACCTTGCGCTTGCCAGGCAGGTGCTTATAACACTGAGCTATATCCCCAGCCCCAAACTTGCTACTTTTAATACTGGTATAAATTCATAGTTTGAAATGTTATGAAAGGTGAGAGTCATTCCATTGCACAACTAGTACAGGGAACCCAGACCTATATGTGCCAAGTCAACTTTTTTTTTTTTGAGACAGGATCTTGCTAAGTAGTCCAGGCTGGCCTCAAACTCACAGCAATACTCCTGTGTCAGCCTCCATGCCCAGCTACAATGTTCTATATTGAAACTTTAAAGGGATAAAATATAATTAAAATACTTTGGTGTGCCTAAACACTTTAAGCAGCTTCTCTGAGAGCTGAGGCAAGAGGATTGCTTGAGTCCAGGAGTGCAGAGTCAGCCTGGGCAACATAGGGAGACTCATCTCTTAAAAAAAATAAATAAAATACTTCCTAATGACATTTTTTTTTGTTTGTTTTTGGTACTGGAAATCGAACTCATGACCTCAGGCTTGCCAAGCAAGCGCTTACGCCGCTGAGCTATATCCCTGACCCCTCTTAATGATGCTTTTTAAAAAAGTTGTGAGAATGTTAAATCCTTGTGTGCTTGTAAAGTAAGTATAAATAAATAAGGAAAAGAGTACTACTGTTTTTAGTGGAGTATTTCTTATTTTCCAGAGTTAAATAACAGTCTCTGGGTTATATTTAAGAGTCCTTAAATTCCTGATATATTATTATGAATGGCTCCCGCTGGGGATATAGCTCAGTGGCATAAGCGCCTGCCTGGCAAACCTGAGGTCATGAGTTTGATTCCTGGTACCAAAAACAAATAAATAAATAGGAATGGCTACTTACACTTACTGAACTGCTGATTTTATGTACTTTAGATAATGAGATTTTAAAAATAAATAAACTTTGGTGTTTATCAGCTTGATTTATTGTGGCTTATCTATAAGTCTTTAAAATATGGGAATTGCTGGGTGCGGTGGCACACACTTGCAATCCCAGCTCCTGGGAGGTTGAGACAGGAGGTTTGCTGCCAGTTCAAGGCCAGGCTAGGCTACATAGTGAGTTGAAAGGCCAGTCTGAGCTATTTAGCGAGACCCTGTCTCTAAAAACCAAAAAAAGAACTGAGATTTTTGAATCTAATGCAAACAATACAACGCTTGATGTTTGAATGGCAAAACCACATTCTTTTGTTGTGACCCGTTGGTCCTGGTAACTGAAGCTGTTCTGACTCATAAGTATTCTAACGACTGGAGTGGAATGGGGCGTGACCATGAGTGAATACAGTCAGGCAATTTGGTGTCTGCAGGGTGATATCATGGAGGAGATTATCAGACAGTTTTGAATTTTTGCAATAGTATAATCACATTTGAATTTGTTGAAGGAGACTTTTATTTACAGGGTGGTGTCTGGTGCTTTGAAAGGCATTTGATTCATAAACTACTCTTTCAGTGGCACAGCACCTTGATTTAGTGTCCTTAATTTTAATGAACTTTAAATGAGAAATCTAGGAAGAGTTGTGCCTTGTTCTAAATTTAGCTCCTTTTGTTCCTTTTGCCTGCTCAAAGGATTCTTAAACATTATTCCACTTAATTAAGGAGCTAAAAAGATCAAAAGTAGTTTAATTCCTCAGTCTGCACTATTATATCTTTAAGTGAAGGATGCTTATAATCTGCTTCCCTACTTTGGTTGTGTATATTTGAAAGAGAATAAATTGTTTTGTACCATGCTGGTTCAAATGGGAATATCAGTTGATTCAGTTAAGAGGAGTAATCATGATGTTTTGGATAGGCTAAGATTTGAATTTAAAAATAATTATTATATATAGATGTTTATTTTATTTTACTTTACTTTTCTTTTTGGAGACAGAGCATCACTGTGTAGACTGGCCTTGAACTCACTATGTAGCCCCAGCTGGCCTTGTACTGGTAATGATTCTCCTGTCTCAGCCTCACAGGTACTGGGATTACAGGTGTGTGCCACCGTGCCTGGCTGTGGATCTTTAATTAAATAAAACATGAGGTTAGCTTTTATTTCTTTTTCTCTAGGAAGTTTCCCATGAAGGGACTTTAATATGCTATCTCGCTGCTTCCCACCATCACAAATCCAAGGGGCTGTATTAGTTTTGCTGCTATAACAAATCATTTAAGTTTGTTTATTTATTTATTTATTGGCTTTTTTCTGGTACCAGGAATTGAATTCACAGCCTTGCGCTTGCCAGGCAGGTGCTGTGCTGCTGAGCTAAATCCCCAGCCCCCCAAATCATTTAAATTCAGTAGCTTAAAGTAAAGCACATGTATTATCTTTCAGCTCTGTAGGTCAAAGGTCTGAAGTGGATTTCTCTAAAATCCAGGTGGGCCCTAGGGGAAAATATGCACCTACCTTTTCCAGCTCCTGGAAGCCCCCTGCGTTCCCTGCATGGTCCCCTTCTTCTCTTCAGAGCCAACAGTCACAGTATTTTACCCTCTGTTTCTATCAACATATCTTTCCTAACTCTGACTTTCCTGCCTCCTTCTTTTCCTTTGTAAGCAGGAATCTGTGATTACATTGAGCCCACCCAGACAAACCGGGATAATTTCTCCATCCCAAGATTGTTAATTACATCAGCAAAGTCCCTCTATGCTATAAGATAACATAGTAACAGGTCAGAGGGTTAGGACAGGAACATCTCTGGGAGATTATTATTCTGTTTAGTAGACTGACTTAAAAACCACTTTGTTTCTCCTGATTCCCTGGGTCGCAGTTTGTATTGGGCTCAGCTGGGCTGTTCTTCGGTTTGTGGTGCTGGGGAATGTGAGGATATTCTAGTTCTGGCGGATTACCTGGGGCGGGGTGGCCTGAGACCTGAGTCTTGTGACTGTGGGTTGATGCTGGCTGTCAGTAGAGCGGTGATTTTCCAGCAGGCTGCACCTGGGATTTCTCAGGTGGGGCAGTGGTCTAAGAGAGGAGAGCAGAGACTGCAGGACTCCTTCAGGAGGACCGGAAGTCACACAGTACAGTACATTGTTTATGCCATTTTTTTATTGGCCCAAGTAAATCACAAGGCCAGCTCAAATTTAAGGTTGGGGAAACTATACCTTTTGGTGGGAGCGGAAAGAATTTGTGGCCATTTAAAATCTTTTGTTTTGTTTTGTTTTGTTTGAGACTGTTCAGGTTGGCCTTGAACTCACTATGTAGCTCAGGCTGATTTTGAACACCCAGCAGTCCTGCCTCAGCCTCAAGAGTGCTGGGATTACAGGCGTGCACCACCACTCCTGGCCCTAAAATCTTATGATTATCATTATGCCTTATTCCTTAATATTCTTACTGAATCTGTAATGATTTTGAGATTGGGGTGGTGTTTGATAAATCTTGCCTTAATTACTTAGAATTTCACTTTTGCAGTGTATGAAACTATTACCCTACAGGATGCTTTTTGATGTCTGAGTTTTTGTAAACTATTAATTAGACTTGGGTTTTAACTCTTTGATATGTTTTATGTGTAGAAACTGCTTGAAAGAACCCGTGCCAGGCGGGAGAACCTGCAGAGAAAAATGGCTGAGCGGCCCACGGCTGCTGCCAGGTCTGCAGCTCATGCCAAGCGACTCAGGGAGCCGCTCTCTGAAGCAAGTAACCAGCAGCCCCAGTCTGGTGGTGAAGGTAAAACACAACATGTAAACATTTCATTATACATGCAGAATGAATCAGGGTCTTTGGAGGCCAGCATGGCCTTGTGTTTTTTTTTTTTGTTGTTGTTGTTGCTTTATTTACTTTATTGTTGTTGGGTTTTTTTTGTTTTTTTTTTTTCTGGTACCGGGAATTGAACTCACAACCTTGCGCTTGCCAGGCAGACGCTGTGCCATTGAACTAAACCCCCAGCCCCTGTGTTATTTATTTTAAAGAAAATTTAAAAACACAATAAAAATGATACAGAACTTCAAGGTGATAGGAAATTAATAATGGTTGTTATATTGCATATTGTTATCTTCAAAGTAGTTGTTCAGATTATCAAATATAGGGCACGCAAAATTGATCAAACAATTGCTATCTTATGTTTTATTTCAGGATTGTTAGATGAGGCCTAGAATCTCTCAGGCTGGAGCAGTTTCTTTTAAGAAATATTTCCAACTGATTGATTAAGCTTTATATTCAATTCCAGTTATCCTTAAAGCCCCCAAGTACCCGGCAAATGTGAAGTCATGAGTTTGATTCCTGGTACCAAAAAAAAAAAAAAAAAAAGAAAGAAAGAAAACTTTTGGCTGGGTGTGGTGGTGCCTGTCTAATCCCAGCACATGGGAGGCTGAGGCAGGAGGATCGTTATGAGTTCAAGACCAGCCTGGGCTACAAAGTGAGTTCAAGGCCAGCCTGAACTGCATAGTGAGACCCTGTCTCAAAAAGACAAAAAACAAAAACAAAAAACACCCCAAGGGAAGAAAAATGAAGACTAACACACTGGCAGTGGTATGGGGTTTTTTACCCCAATAGTGACACAATAGCTGGCTGGCCTGATGGTGTCTCTGGCATGAACAAGGCAGCAAAAGGCAAACTAGGTGCGAATACCCAAAGTTAATATACCTTTGTCATGTTGGGTTTGCTGGACCAGCTCTCTAAGGTTGGGCTCAAAGTTTAGATTTTTAATCTCCAGGAGTACTGGAATTAAAAACAAAACCGAACCACACACACATCTTCACCTGCGATCTTCTGTTTTTTCCAAAACCCTGGCATCCCTAGCCAGCACCGGTTTTTCTCCTGGAGTAGTAATCCAGGAGATAGTCTGGAGATAATAATCTTCCTTAGTACTATTTTAAAAAACTTAAATATAGAGAAAGAACATTACAAAGGACAAAAACCAGTGTTATTAAAAAAAAAAAACAACAAAGAGGCATGGGGCTGGCTCATTTATTTTGGAAGCTAACCATAGAATGAGAATTTATTTTCATATGTTTATACATTTTGAAGGGAAATATGTATTCTGTATTATATGTAATTAAATATTTTTATATTTAATTACATTTCATATTAAGCAGGAACGTGAGACCTGGCCCTAGTCTAGGATCTTCTGTTTCCACTGTGACACTATGGAGTACTTCTGAGAGTATTATATACTTGAAAACTAGTGCTGAGCACTTCATTTTTTTGTTTTTGTTTTTGGAAACAGAGGCCTAGAACTCGCTGTGTAGCCCAGGCTGGCCTTGAACTCGTGTGATCCTCCTGCCTCATCCTGCTGGGATCACAGGCGTGCACCACCATGCCCAACTCTCATTTTGATGTTTGAATGAAAGTATTTACTATTTTGTAAAAGAACTGTGCACTTGCAGAATCTGGAGAATCCTTAATCTCCAGGTGATGTTTCACATTAAAACAGGAACACTTTAGAAAGTGATGAGTTTGTAGACTGACCCATGAGTGAGTTAGGAAGGACGAGGAAGTTCTATGGTTTGTGTTTAGTTATGTTGTTGATGAGCACAGCCATGACTTCCACTGATATTACTGTGAGTACTGCCACAAAGAACACTTGGAGATGCCAATGAGATGACCCTGTATGAAATTCGCATTCTTTTAAAGAAATTTTTTTTGGTACCTGAAGTCGAACTCAGTAGAAAATATTCTCAGGAGATATTTGTAGGTGGAAGTAATATACCCTGTGTTTGGACAGCTCTTTCATTTTAGGATTTTTTTCCACTTATTTTATAGGTGTTCACAGATGTGTACAGGTTTACACAGATGTGTAAAATGTGAACTATTAAATACTGCATTGGTGACTTCATTTGGTATTGACCAGATAATTCAGTCGCTTATTCTGATCTCTGCTTCTCTTCTGAAGCTCAAGCCACGTGCTCTTCTACCCCAGCTTATTAGTTATTATCCATGTAAGAGTGTTTCAAATATAGAAATCCCATTTTCTTCCTTTTTTTTTTGGGGGGGTCTTTTTGAGACAGGGTCTCACTCTGCAATTCAGGCTGGTCTTGAGCTCACTTTGTAGCCCAGGCTGGTCTCTTAACTCGCAAGGATCCTCCTGCCTCAGCTTCCCGAGTGCTGGGATTACAGGTGTGCGCCACCATGTCCAGCAGAAATCCCATTTTTTACCCTTAGCTCAGCTGTCTGACTCAATGGGTAACTTTATTTCTCCAGACTTGACTTTTCTTACCTAAATATGGGTAGTGGGTATTGGGATCTTTAAAATCCCTAAGCACTTGCTTATCCTGTGTGCATGCACTTTTGTTCCTTGTTGTCTTAAGACCACATTAAGTAGTCTTATGCATATACTGTATTTGAGGATGCTATTTAAATTTTCGTTATGGGTTTTCAACCGTAAGTTACATGTTCACTTAAAAGAAGTCTTTCAAATTAGATTTCCGAGTTACTGAAAGAGTGGCATTTTTACATGTCTTGTGACTAATACTTTAAGTATTAGAGAAACATAAGGTTTTATTAATTTATTAAGTGCCTACTTCAAGATTTTCGTGCTGTGAGAAATTACGGAATTTTCCATGTTTTTGTTGTTTCTAACCTAGAGAAATCGTGTACAAAGCCATCACCATCAAAAAAGCGCTGTTCTGATAACGCCGAAGTAGAAGCTTCTAATTTGGAAAATAAGCAGCCAGTTGAGACAGCTGCCGTGAAATCTTCTTCTGCTAGCCTTGCGTCTCCTCAGGCACAGCCAGCAGCACCCGCTGGGGTCAGGGACCCTGTGGCTGCCCCAGCAGCACTGCTGGGCTCGGGGAGAAAGCTGAACTCGAGACTGGAAGCAGCGGCAGGCTCCTCAGTTAAAACACGCATGCAGCAACTTGCAGAGCAGCGGCGCCACTGGGATAACGATACAGCAGGTATCGTGGTATGGGTGCGAGAGTCTGTAAATCTCTCTCCCTAGGTTCAATTTGGTATTTCAAAATTTCATTAGTTAATACATGAAAGGCATATGCTTTTGTTTTTTCTGCACTCAGCATCCTTTGTTTGCAAATGGTTTATATTACCAGTGGTATATTTGTAAAGTGGCTATGTTCTCATTGAAGTAGAGAGGGATGAGGTTCTTGGACCAGTTCATGGCAGCCTGGCTGAGAAACCTGCCCTAGGTTAGTTAGGCAGCTAAAATTCAGACTCCAGTAATTTGATCCGAAGACTATAACCTTAACTGCAGTGACCTGGCTGTTGTCTTTTGGAGTGCAATATCGTGCAGATGGTTTATGGCAGTAATGACGAACCTTTTAGAGCTCAGTGATACAAATAGCCTGTTGTGGCGTGTATAAGTTCAATTGTTTTGGGACTTCTATTAAAATATAATTTATCTGAAGTCTTTCTATAGAGACTAGTTAGGGGAGCCAGAGATCTGTTAAGTGTACTCCTAAAACATGACCATAAGATTGTCATCTTCTCTGACACAGTGTTTATTCTACAAAAGGTGATGGACGTATGTGAAAGGGCATTGTAGCTGGGTTTGGTGGCTCATGCCTATAATCCTAGCACTCTGGAAGGCTGAGATGGGAATACTAGAAGTTCAAGCCCAGTTTAAGTGATTTGGTGACATAGGGAGCATGTCTCAAGAAAAGAGCTGGGGGTATAGTTAGTGCAAAGGCCCTGGGGGTCAATCCTCAATACAGGCAAAAGTAAGAAAAAGGAAAAGACAAAAGGCATTGCAGGGAAGGTGACCAGACAAGCTTTTTCTGGAGGACACAGAGGCCAATAAGCTGGGCTTTGAAGGACACCCGGCTTTAGAGAATGGAAATAATCTAGAAAAAGGTAATGTGTGAGAAGTGCAGAGATAAGTAACATGAACACAGTCTGTATTTTTGTTGTATAGTGCAGGTGATAGGAAAGCAAGAGAGAAGTTTGGGAAGGCAGGAAGGTCCAAATTAGATTGAACCTGGAGGTGACTAGAAGGTCCTAGCAGAGTGTCCAGCAGGCAGGTGTTTTAGAAAGATCAAGAAGGATGAGACAGGGCAGAGATTTGGAGAAGGAAGACCCGTTAGAAGGCCAGCGCTGTAGTCCAGGTGCACAGTGATGAAGGCCTGTGCAAGTGAAGAGAAGCTGGCTGTAAGAGCTGTAGGAGAAGGAGTCTGTAGGACTTGACTGGTGGAGCATGAGTGAGAAGGGAGGAAGTGGGCAGCTTTCTGGTCCCGATGATGAAGAGCTGGTGATGTCATTTATTAAGAAGAGGAGTATGTTTGCGGTAACGTTGGCTTCAGGGGTGACACTGGAATGATCCTGAGAAAGCTAACGAGGTAGCTGCATTTGGGAGGCCATGAGAGATGGGCCAGAGAGACATCATAGACAATGATGCAATGAATGGAAAGGAAGTAATATATTTTAGAGATGTTAAGAAATGGGAGACTGCGGGGCTGGGGATTTAGCTCAGCGGCAAAAGCGCCTGCCTGGCAAGCGCAAGGTCGTGAGTTCGGTTCCCGGTACCGGAGAAAAAACCAAAAAAACAAAA